GTAGTCGTAGTAGTAGTCGTAGTAGTAGTAGTAGTAGTAGTTAGTAGTAGCAGTAGTAGCGTAGTAGCAGTTAGTAGTAGTTAGTAGTAGTAATAGTAATAGTAGTAGTAGTAGTAGTAGTAGTAGTAGTAGTAGTAGTAGTAGTAATAGTAGTAGTAGTAGTAGTAGTAGTAGTAGTGGTAGCAGTAGTGGTAGTAGTAATAATCGTGGGACCGCAGAACGACTTGTCGGCGCGTCGCCGCGCGCACGCGTGCGCGTCGCCCAGCAGGGAGTGCATGCGCGTGTGTAAACGCATGTGTGTGTGTGCGTGCGCGCTCGTGCTCTCGCCCCCTTTCCTCTCTCGGCTGGCCGCCGGACACTGAGATCCGACGTCGCGAACAAACTGCAACAACGCTCACAATCGCGACCGGGAACCCTAGACTGCATCTTTCTGAAGCATCAAGGCCCCCAAATCCGCCTCAAGGGCCCCAATCCCAGCATGATCGACTCAAGGCTCAAGGGCCCCAAATCCGGCGAAGACGCCCACTGCCAACAAAATTGCAACGCCCGGATCTCAGGGGGGCGCCCACCCCCCCCGCCCAGGCTCGCCCCAGCGCCACCCCCCCAACGCTCGGTGCTACCGATGCCTCCCAAAGATGCCCAGGCGATGCTCTAGATCTACCGCGGCGGAGGTTGAAGGTGAGTGGATGGAGGTCTCCGTAATGGGGTCCGAATAGATGGGGTCAGAGGATCGCCCCGGCGACGCAGGCGTGGAGAAAATCGGCCTCCACATCAAGCCGCAACGCCGATGCATCGGCGATGCGGCGCGATCCTCCGACCCCATCTGCTCCGACCCCATCTGGGAGGCCTCGTGAGCTCCTCGGCCGCCGCGCTCGTCCGGCTCGGCCGCCCGCCGGCCGCCGCCACGCGCCTCGCGGCCGCTCGGCGGCGCGGGCTCGCGGCTGTCGTCTCGGGCGCCGCCCCTGGGCGGCGGCTCCGCGGCGCGGGGCCGCTCCGCCCGGCGGTCCTCGCGCGGGGCCGCGGGTGAGCCCGCGTCGCCGTCCTGGGCAGCGGGGGGCCGTTGGGCGGGAGGGCTTGGCAAACAAGGGGGCCCTGAGATCCGGCGTCTCGAAAAATTCGGGACGGACGTTTTTCATGGTTCTCGGCCCCTTGGGGCCATCATCCGGCCTCGACACCGTCAACAGAAACAACTCGGAATGAAAAACCGGTCCCAGGGAAGTGGTCGAGAGGTCGGGGACGCCTGTCCCGAGAAAATCGAGACGTCGGATCTCTGGGGGGGGGGGGGCACGCAGTGCGGCCGCCGGATCGGGAGGCGGCGGCCGTGGCACCACCGCCCTGCCCCGGCCAGTGCTATCCGTGGCCCCGGGGTGGCGCGTGCGGCCTCCCAGCCTCGGCCGGGAAAGCCTGCATGCACCACCCCAGGGCCGGGGGTGGCGCTGGCCAGGGATGGCGATGTTGTCGTATAGCTGCCTTCCGTGGGCCGAGGCTGGGCGGGGGAGGGAGGGGGGGAGGGGGGAGGGGGCACGGTCAGGGCCACTCCCTCTTCCATCCGTTGCCACCATCGCTGCGCTGCTCTTGGCACGAGCGCGCGTCCATCGCCTCAGGCTCAAGCAGGCAACAAGCTCTCACCTGATGGCAAACCGACGCGGAAAAAGAGGAGGATGGTTCGGCCGGGAGACCGAAAACAGCTGGCCTCCAGCATGAGTGCGTTTTCTTCGCCACCTTCAGGTGATGTCGTAACAGCTCACTCGTAATTACCACAACCATCTATCTCCATTACCAAGATGCAGCTACCTCTCTTTCTCCAACTCCTCATCCCGCTCGTCCTCCCTATCTCCTCCTTATCCCTCCCTTCCTTCTCCTGGTGTTCCTCCTCCGCCTCCTTCTCCTCCACCTCCTCCTCCTCCTTATCCTCCTCACTCTCCTCTTCACCTCACCAAGAACTTCCTTCGCGCCCCCCTCGCCCACACTCCATATGTTCACTCTTCCCTCTCCTCCAACCCTCTGACGTCTTGCCAGGAGCATACGTAACTATACGACCAACCTTCGGAGGATAAGAAGGTTCGGGAGGGGGAACCAACGTCTCACCCAATCAGTCTCACTATCGTTCTTACTACCGATCTCGCTATCGATCTCACTATCGACTTCACGATCGACTTACCATGGATTTCACGATCGATCTCTCGATCCATCTAATTACCAATCTCGCAATTGATCTCACGATCAATCACACAAACGATCTCACTACCCGTCTCACTATCGATCGCACAATCGATCCCACGATCGATCTCACTACGGGGCACCGAACGGCAAAGACGGAACAACGACGGGACAGCGACGGGACAGCGACGGAACAGTGACGGGACACTGGCGGGACAGCGACGGGACAGCGACGGGACAGCGACGGGACAGCGACGAGACATACGGGACACCGGCGTGACAACGACGGGACACCGGCGGGACAACCAGGCCGCCGCTCGCCCAGCAGGGGACATTCGGACAGTTGTCTTGCCCCGTCCTAGCAACATCAGAGTCATCCCTCTCGCCCGCCCACGCAGCTTCGCCTCACCTGCACGCACGACACGAACCCGAAAGCGACACGGATTTCCTGGTCGGGGGCTCTTCGTCCCACTTCGATCTCATCCCCAAAGCTCCGATGCAATTCAATGCATGTTGGCAGCTTGGGAAATTCTTCCAACTGGAGCCGTACATGCGCAAATGCATGCAATGATGTACAGTGCGGTAAGCAGCCATGCCTCACAACTCATGCAGCAGTACAACAATGCGCATCAACACTGTGCAGCATTGGACATCATAACCATAACATGGCATGACATGATGCGCTAAATCATACCATGACGTAGCGTAAGGCTGAACAGTGTTGAAAAGCCCCGCATACCAACACCCACCACGATACTGCGTAGCCACACATGGTACAGAATAGCTAGCAGAATACATCACGTCAGCAGCACTCATCACTGCATAGTATGGCATTTGCGAAAAGAAGCTGCGCCCGTGCCAGGAGGCCAGCCCGACAGGGCCTGACAGACTAAACAATGCCTCTCTTCAGAAACCAGCTGCGCAGCCCTTCGGCTAGGCCAAGTGGGTATACAATCTCTCCACCTCATATCGGCAGATGAGTCGGCGGGACGTGCGCCTCGTCCACTTTCTGATAAACATCATTTCCTCAATCCCCTCCTCCTCATCCTCGTCCTCACCCTCCTCCTCGTCCTTCTACTCCCCCTCCTCCTCGCGCCTGCTCCACGCGCACCCGGAAGACCCTGTCCACCTCGCCGTCGTGGGGAACCTGCCAGCCTGAGCTCGGAGGCGTCATCGCCGCGGTGCTGGCGTGATAGGCCCATACCTGGCTGCCACCCACGCTGGGGCCGAACCACCATCCGGCGAGCTCAGGCCCGTCGCGCTCGTCCCAGAAGTAGATGAGGACGTCGTGGTTCTTGGACTTCTTGTCTCTTCTGTAGACCACCCGCCCGTGGTTGGTGTCGTGCGGGAGGTACCTTCGGGGAGCGCCGCCGCCGCTCACGCCGCGCCAGGCCAGGCTCGGACGGGGGGGGGGCATCTGTTGACCCCATGTTGACACGAAGCTGTTCTGCTCGACAACTGCATCATCCTTCTTGGGCCCTCTTCTCCCCCCTTCCTGTTCCCCCGCTCCTCTTTGTTTGTCTGCGCCAGCTGTTCTTCGCAGCGTTCCATAACCCCCCATCTTCGCTTCCTCATCCATCTCCCATGCTCCCTCACAACTCCCTCCTCCTACTCTTCCTCCTCCTCCTGCTCCTCCTCCTCCTCCTCTTCATCCTCCTCAATAATCAGAATCATCAACATCATAACCATCCTCACAATCATCATCATTATCATCATCGGCATCATCCTCCTCATCATCGTCATCAGCATCACCGCCATCAGCATCAGCATCATCATCATCATCATCATCATCATCATCATCATCATCATCATCATCAGCATCAGCATCATCATCATCATCATCATCATCATCATCATCTTCAGCAGCATCATAAACATCATGAGCAGCAACATTACCATGATCATCAAACCATCAGCGTCCTCACCATCAGCATAATCGTCACCACCACCATCATCCTCATCATCAGCATCACCATCATCATCATCATCAGCATATTCATCGTCATCATCAGCATCATCATCATCGTCAGCAACATAATCGTTGTCATCATCATCCTCATCATTACCAACCATCAGTCATCAATATCCAACCATCATCATCAATACCATAAGCATCAGCAGCATCAGCAGCATCACCATCAGCAGCATCAGCATCAACATCGTAATCATCATCATCACCGCCATCACCATCACCATCACCATCACCATCACCATCACCATCACCATCACCATCACCATCACCATCATCATCATCATCATCATCATCATCATCATCATCATCATCATCATCATCATCATCATCATCATCATCGTCATCATCGACTTTCCCCCCGCTCTCCCATGTTCCCCCTGCTCTTCTCTTCCTGCCCATCCTCCCTCTCCCCCTCGCTCGCACTCCCCTGCCGTCCGCTACCACCCCTCCCCTCCGCTATCCCCCCCTGTCAGCCCTGCCCAGCCACAGCGCGGACGGTCACCTCCCCATGATGAACTCACCGATGACCTTGTCCCCGCACCCGCTGGCGATGAGGGTTGGCTGCGCAGGCTGTGCGGAGGCCGGGGGCAGGGCCGGCGCGGTCGCGCGGTCGCCGCGTCCACCTCGGGGGAGAGGGTCACCAAGCCCGTTCTCACCCTCCCTCCTGCCTCCTCCTCCTGCCTCGTCCTCCCTACTCCCACTCCTGCGCCATCTCTTCCCCGGCCGAGGTCAGACCCGGAGGGGACGCAAGGGGCCAGCTGGACGCTCACACGTTGGGTCGAAGACTGCCGAGGCCCCGCCGGATAACCGGACGTCCAGCCTGGCGAACCTTCTGATTGAAGTGCAGAAGCAATCAAAAAGGGACCGTTACCTCTATCCCCCTGCCTCCTTCTCTTCCTTGCCCCCACTCCGCCACCTCCTCACTCCCTCCCGCCTCCTTCCATTGTCCAGGCTCCCTTCTCCCCCTCCTCTTCGTAGTTGCCTCCTCCCTCCTTCCTCTCCTCGGGGTGACAGCTTCCCCCCCCCGCCATGTTTCGATGTCGTATTTTTGTTTGCTTGTAGGATGCCCTTCGATAGTCCCCACCAAGAAAAAATACACACGTCCGAGCGATGCCAAGGGACAAAGACGTTGTCAACCAAAGGCGGCCCGTGCAAGGGCGACGGGCGTTCAGAGCGCGCGGGCCCACTTGGGAGGACGGGGAGCGAAAGAGGAGCAACGCGCGCGCAGCGGACCGCAGCAGGTGCAGCCCAGAATCGGCGGCGAGCGCGGGGGGGAAATGAGACGGAGAAGGCCTTCTCAGAAGGCGGCGGGACTTCTCAGAAGCCATCGCGGCTTCCGAGAAGGATTCTGTCTCTTTGGGGAAAACTTAGAAAACTTCTCAAGAGGCCAGGGGACTTCCGAGCCTTCTGGGGAGGCCTTCTCCTTCTCACTTCCCCCCCGGGCTCGCCGCCGACAGAAGAGACAGATGATGACCAGTATGCTCTGGCCAGGAAGTCCTACTCCTTCTGAGAAAGAGGGTCTGTGCGAGTCAGGCGTTCATTGGGATGGGGGTCATCGGGGTTCTCGGGTCACCTGGGGAATGCTCGTGGCTCCTTGGATGCACTGCGTTTCATTGCTTCGCACTGCGTTGGTGTGTACTCTGTTGGTTGCTTTGCGGTACCCTTCGCTGTTTGGCGTTGCAGTGCATTGCATTGCTTGCTCAGCATTTCGCTGTAGGGCTCTGCATGGCGTTGCAGTGATGCGCATGCTTTGCATTCGTTTGCGTTGCTTCGCATGTAGGGATGTGCGTTGCTGTGCGTTCATGTGATACGTTTTGCATGGCTTGTGCTCAACGTCCATTGACTGCACTGGTTCGTTTCGCGTTCCTTGCATGGCTTTGCTTCGGGTCGCATTATCATGTGTTGGATTGAGCTGGACTGTTTGCGATTCGTTTGTTAGATGTGATGTGGACTGCTATGTGCTGCACTGGGCTGGCTTGCAGGATATTGCATCGCGTTGCCCTGCTTTGCACTGATTTGCGGTGTACAGTCCTACTTTGCACTGATATCAGCAATTACTGATGCCACTAATTGTTTTCAAGTAACACGCGCTTCTCTCGCTGGCTCCCCTCTGACACCGTCGGTAATGTGGTAACACCTGCAAAAAACAACCCCCCTCCTTCTCATCTGTACCCTCCGTTATCCTCCTCCTCCCCCGTCCGCCTCCACCATCTACCCGTACTTGTTTGAATGTCTACCCTTGCTCTCCCATGTAGCTGGCAGATAGCCGCCACGAGCGGGGGCAACACTTCTACTGGCCCAAAGGAGAATCTGCGTTGCTTCCTCTCTACGCTGCCGTTCTGTTGACGTTGCAAGATCCGCGGCAAGAGTGAGACAGGGCACGCATCTCCTCCTCCTCCTCCTCCTCCTCCTCCTCCTCCTCCTCCTCCTCCTCCATGAGGTTCGCAGGAGGCCTGCGCATGCCCAGAAAGAGCCAGAAACGAAACGTAAACAAAAGCTCGATACTCGATGTTCCGATCCTTCTCCCTCCCTGTAGAGCACTTGTCTCTTCCAGGCTGGCGGAGGTAGGCCAGCAAGGGCCCTCTGGCGGCCAACTTTGGAACCCCGGGAGTTGTCCGCCGTCGTGATTGACTTTGTCGTCGAAGTCGTCGCCACCGCAGCCGCTGAGACGTCGCCACCGTCGTCGTCGTCGAAGGCGTCGTCGCCGCAGCCGTCGACCTCGCCGCCGTCGTCGCCGACGTCGCCGCCTCCGCCGTCGACGGCGCATTCATCGCCGTTGAAGAGGCCGCCGCCGCCGTGCCGTCGCACCCACCCTCGGCGCCGAAGTCGTCGCCGACGTCATCGTCGCCGCCGGCCTCGGCGCGAGGCAGCGGGCTCCGGCGAGGCCGGGGGCTCACGCGGCGCGTGGCGGTCCGCTGGCGGCTGCCCGCGGCGAGGCGGGGGCTGCGCCTCCTCCTGGGAGGCAGAAGGGAGGGGGAGGAGAGGGGAGGGGCAGAGAGGAGGGAGGGAGACACAGGAGGTGGGAGGGGGACGGAGGCAAGGGGGGGAGGGATGGGAAGGGGGGAGGGGGAGGAACTGTTCCAGGGGGGATGAGCAGGTAGGAGGGGGAGAAGGGAGGGAGAGAGGGAGGGAGGGATGCAGGAGGAGGAGGAGGAGGAGGAGGAGGAAGAGGAGGAAATGGGAAGAAAGGAGGATGGGCGGAGGGGGAACAGGGGATAGGGGATGAAGACAACGTGGATGAAGGAGAGGGAGGACGGAGAAGAGGAGGCTGCTCAGCGCACTGGGGTCATGACTGGGTACACAGCTTGATCCCGGGCCGCCGCCACTATCTGCCACTACCACCCCAGGCAGTACCACCTCAGCAATACCACCAGCTTGGCCACCATCCCACCGCCACCACTACCATATTCGCTTCTTGTCCTTATTCCGTATTAGTGTTTGCTGCTGTATTGCTGTATCGCCGGCTGGAGGACCGGAAGACGGCCAAAGCGGGGAGGTCCATCAGACCTGCGAAACAGAAATGCAACGTTTAAGCGTTTGCTTCAAACATGGCATTGTATTCGCCCACGTTGCAAAATGCGTGGCTGGAATGGGACGGGGCGCACATCCCGCGCGACAGGGCGAACTTCGCTCTCGCCTCGGCGCCGCGCTCATTTTCCAGAGGGTCCCACCAGCCCTTTAGGGCGTGATTGGTCCAAGGAGCTCGCTCTGCGAACCCTCTTCTTCCCATTCGGCGAGGGGAGCCCTCCTCACCCTACCCCCTTCCCCAGGATCTGGACCTCCCGCCGCGAGGTGTCAGAGGGTCCTTGTTGGCCCAAGGTGGCTCCAAAAGGGCCCCAGAGAGCCCAAGATGGCCTCCAAGATCGCTCAAGATATCCCAGGATGGTTCAAGATAGCCTCCAGTATGCCTCCCAGAGCCCTCAAGACCGCCCAAGGACGGACCCAAGTGTCCCCGAGCCTCCCGAGGAAGCCCCCAGGAGGCCAACATCCTTCAAAACCATAGTTTGTTTCAATTCTTAGTGGCCTTCTCGCCTTGTTTGCTTTCGATGGGCTCTTGAGGCCTCAAGATAGCTCCAAGATGGCTCAAGAGGGCTCCGAGAGGAGGCCAGGAGGGCCCAAGGCGGCCCCAAGAGGGCCCAAGAACGCCCCAAGAGCGGCCCCAGAGGGTCCCAAGATGGTCGGGCCCAGCCGGGGGAATCGTACTTAAATACCCTTATCTCTTTTGATCGATGGCTTCGCTCCAAGTATGATGACCCAAAGATGCCTCCAAAAAGCTCCCAGAGCTAAAGGTCGCAACGTCCTTGATATCGTCGTCGTCGTCGTCTTCGTCGTCGTCGTCGTCGCCAGCGGCTCCGGACATGCACAACGTATTACAGACACCGCGAGCAACGACAGACAACCACTCAAACAGGACAGCCACGAGGAGGCGAGAAGCGCACGCAACGAGGCGGACGCCGCTCATCAGACGCACATGGGGCCTGCAGCTGCTTTGGTTGTGGCTGCCTGTCGTCGCTCCCTGAGCAAAGATCCCCCACGCCAGCATCGTCGTCTTCGTCGTCCTGCTACACGTCCCCGAGTGCCTCTTTTTGGATGGCCTAGCGGGGATACGCACAGCGTCTACAGTTGAGCTCCCGCTGAAGCGCGGTGCTCGTGTCGACGGCGCAGCTTAGTCGACGCGCCAGCGGATGAAGAAAATGTCGTTCTCTCCTCGGCGCCGCGCCGATGTTGCCTCAAACTGGCGCTCCTGCCTCGGGACGGCGCTGTCGCTCGCGACCACGTGGGGCCCCGCGCGAGCGGACGACTTGCCTCCTTTGCTCAAGCTCCGTGCGCATTTCGCTCGGAAGTGGCGTTCCCTCGCGGGCGCGGCGCATGGCTCGTTCGCCGAATCGCATTACAGCGGCAGCGGCACCGGGCCGCGCGAGAGCGAGCGAAAGGCTAACCTTGCCCAATCGCCGCGCAGTGTGTAAATGAAAACGGCAGTGCTGTGTCGCCGCTCCCACACCTGCGCAGCTCGCATAGTTGTCAACTCGGCCAGGTCGCCAGAAACGAGACCGCGCGCGTGCGCCTTCTGCTCGCTGGGTGGGAACGCGTCCAATCGCTGGGAGGTCGTGCCACAGTCAACAATTGATTCTTATGGTATGGGGGAGAGGTTGGGAGCGGGCGGGGCGCTCTGACTCGCTCAACCTGCCTACCTTGTCTCCGCTCCTGCAGCCTGTAGCGCTACCACTGCCATCACCACTGCGTGTCTCCAACATACCAATGAGTCACAACAATGACTGCTGTCCAAGGCCGCTGGCGAGAGAAAAATACGTAACACCAAGACCGCGACCGCGAAACGACCGCGACCCTGAGCATCCCGACCTCGGGAGCCGACGAGGCGATGGCGGACCCTCGTCTCCCTCCCCTCCCCCTCCTGCCAGCCGTACCTGCCCGTCGCTCTCTCTTCCTCCTTGCGCAGGGAGGGAGCGGGCTCAGGAGCACCGACGCCCAAATGCGGGTATGGGAAGCCCGCGCAAAGGGGCACTACGCACAACAGAAACAAACAACCCGAAAGCCCGGCAAGTGGTGATCATTTTACTATACTCTTGCCATGGATGCGCTAAACGTGCGCAGCCCCTCCTCACAATGGCTGCGCTGGCCTGGCACGCACCCAAAGGCGGCCTGTGGCTGGCTCTTCGGCGGAGCTGGACTGAACTCATCCGCCTGGCCACCCGTCCACACATAAGAGTGGGTGCTGGGCCGCTGGCGGAGTATGGTTTAGGTTTTGGACTCCGCCGACGAGCATCCGAGGACGCCCTGGGACGCGAAGGGCGGAGGATGAGGAGAGGAAACCACCGCAGGAGGAGAGGGGAGGAGGGGGGGCGAGGAGGGGAATTCCACGCGAGCACAACGAGAAGTACATCAGCGCACTGGACGAAACCAAGGGACTCAGAATGCCTCTCAGCACGGCCCAGCCTCCAGCCTCCAGGCGCACAGGTACAGCAAAACAAAAGCACGTCATCAATCGCCCAATCAGGGAGCTCGGCTAGAGACGGCAACACGACCAATTCACACATCGCTGCCTGGGAGGGGAAGCATAACGACGAGCGGCAGGCAAACCTAACAAACCTCAAAGACTCGCTCTCTCTCTCTCTCTGCACGCTTGCCTGTACGGCGCCTCACGCCACGCCCACGCTGCACACCCTCGGATGACGACGCGCTGCTTGGCGCGCCGCCCCAGGCCACCCGCTTGTCCAAAAGCCCGAGACCGCGGCGCCCCCTCGACCTCGCGAGGTGCAGACGGCGCGAGTGCGCATGGGCCCCACAGTCCATGCCCACGAGCCCGTCACCCCGCATACGTGCCGACCCCAATGCCAAGCTCTGGCGGGGCGGGGAGGGGGGGGGGCAGCCCCCTCGACCTCGTGAGGTGCAGACGGCGCGGCGGCGCATGATGCCCACGAGCCCGTCACCCCACATAGGTGCCGACCCCAATGCCAAGCTCTGGCGGGCCAGGGCAGCCCCCGAGCTACACAATGGCACCTACGAGGGAGACGAGGTGGGGAGACGAGGAGGGCTGCGAGGGGGGAAGACGAGTGAGGACGGAGGGGGATGGTAGAGGAGCGGGAGCGTGGTCCTGGTAGTCACTGTACTCGTCGTCGTAGTCCTTGGGGGCGCAGCAACAACCGCAGTGATGATGGGACTCGCCCCCATCCGCTGGCGGGGTTGAGGGGAGCACCGAGAGGAGGAGCCAGACCAAAAGGAGGAGCAGGAGGAGGTGGAGGAGAAAGAAGAGGAAGAGGAGGAATTGGAGATGATCGGACGAGGAGGACAAGGGAGGAGGACGAGCAGGAGGAGGAGGCGGACCACGAAGGTGACGATATACATGATAATGGGGAGAAAAGATGACAGGGAAGAAGGAAGACAGGGTAGCGGAAGGAGAGCAAGAACGGATGAGGAAAAGGAGAATGAGGGGGTGGAGGCGTAGGGAGAGGGAAGAATGGCTGGATGGGAAGCCGGCAGGAGGGTGTGGAGGAGAAGATTTTATCAAACTAGAAAAGGTACGGGGGACAGGCGGAATGGGTGGAGGAGGGGAGAAGAAGGGAAGAGGAGGGCGAGGGACACGAGGGTGTGGTGGAGGACGGGGGAACAGAGGAAGAAAGGACGAACACCAAGCTAAGCGGGCTAATGAGGATGGGAGGGAGGGGGGGGAAACCGGGAATGAGGTGCATGAGGAGCAGGGCAAGGGACAGGGAGGATGAAGAAGAGGGGGAACAAGGGAAGGACGGCCGCCCAGAAGAAGAGGACGAGGAGGACCTAACGGATGCTTGCGAGGAGCGGGTGGAGGCGGAGGAGGAGAAGGAGGAGGAGAAGGAGGAGGAGGAGGAGAAGAAGAAGGAGGACAAAGAAGGAGGAGGGGAAGAAGGAGGAGGAGGAGCCCCACTCAGGTCCTGAGCCGCACCGCCCTTGCGCGGCGCAGGCTCCTGCGGGTCACTGGGTCCGCGCGGGCGGGCGGCGGTCGAGCGAAAGACCGAAGCGGGGGATGCGTTTATGTGCATACTGGCCAGATGTGGGAAAGCAGAGTTCTCCTAATTTGAGCTAAGGTGGTCTGAGTCCAAAAGCCCTCGTCCTTTCTGGGAGGTTTACCCTCCCCCCTGAAGTTTTCCGGGGCGGCCCAGGACGTCTCAGGGTTCCCAAGATGGCCCACGATGGATCCACGAGGACCTCCACTGCTCTAAGATGGCCTCCAAAATGGCTCGACATAGCCGACGGTGGTTCAAGATAGCGTCCGACATACCTTCAAGACGTTCGACGAGGGCCACAGGACGGTTCCAAGCACTCTCGGAGCCCCCTCAGGTTCCCCCAAGAGGCCAAAGTGAAACAAAACAACTATGGATAATCAATGAGTTGTGCCTTCTCGCAGTTTCGCTTCCGATGCGCTTTGTGGGCCTTACGATGGCCCCACGATGGCCCAAGAGAGGCCCCAGAGAGGCCCAAGAGGGGCCCAAGAGGCTTCCCAGATGGCCCCAAGAGCACCCGAGAGCGCCCCAAGAAGGCCCGAAAGCGCCCCGAGAGGCTATTTTGATGATGGTCCCAGGCCCTCCCCCCCTCCTTTTGATCGATTGCCTCCAAGATGGCCCTTCAGAGCTCCCGAGGGGCCCCCAAGAGCGCTCTAAGAGGGACCCAGGAGGGCACCAAGACAGCCCAAAAGAGCCCCAAGAGGACCAAAAATAATCCCAAGACAGCTCCAAGAGGCGGTTTTGAGGGCTCTGTCTTCGTCCTCATTGTCCTCCTCGTCCCCTTCCTCGTCCTTGCCCTCAATGTCTACAGCTTTTTCCTCCTCTTTCTCGTCGTGGCCGTCGTCGTCATCGTATTCTTCCTCCTCCTCCTCCTCCTCCTCTTCTTCCTCCTCCTCCTCCTCCTCCTCCCTTCCTCGCCCCCATGCGGGCCCGAAGAGGCTCTCCAAGGCAACCCCCGTGCTCCCAGTGATCTCTGTTCACCCTGGTTACCCGTTTTGTTGCTTTACATGTATCTCTACGTCCCTGTTCTTGTCAGCTTCATGGGCATGGTTCCTAAATGGGCTGGTGGAGATCGCGTAGCGTAAAGATTTGTCATTCCGCCGCCTTCTGCAAGGCTTTTGATGACTTGCGCGCACCCTCCCCCCCTCTCTCGCCGAGGGCTTTTTTGCAAATCTCTCGAATTCTCGAAGGCGCGCACCTGCGAGCACATTCGGACTGGTGCGCGGTTGGCTGCACAACGAAGAAGGAGATGGCGACCGAGAGGAAGAAGGTGAGTTGAGAAGAGGGACGGCTGTGAAGGGAGGAAAGGAAGGAGGAGAGGGAGGGGGGAGGGAGGCAGGGGAAGGGAGGAGGAAAGGAGGAGGGAGAGAAAAGAGGGAGGGAAAGTGAGGGATGGGAGGGAAGGGAAGGACGGGGAGGGAGAGGAGGACGACGAGGTGGAGCAGCAGCAGCAGCAGCACGCAGCACCACCACAAACAAGCAAGAGCAACGGCGTCAGCAACACTGGCAGCAGCAACGTCGGTCCTCGGCTCTGCCGTCGTCCTTCTCCGCTGCGCCGCCCCGTCCGCGGTGGCCCCGGCCGGCTTCGCGCCGGTCGCCGCCGCCGCGCGATCCCCCGTAACCGTAGCCCACACGCGGCGCATCCCCCCGGCCTCGCGGGGGACCACAAGACGTGCGCTGGCGCCGTTGCTCTCCGGGCCTCTCTCTGGGGGATGCGTCCTGGATGGTGGAAATATCTATTCGAATATAGCCGCGGCGGTATGAGGGTGGACCCAAAGACCAGGTGCTGTCTGAAGTGGCGGCGGCCCAGGTGCCCCCGGCTTTTCCATGGACGCCCAGATGGCCTCCAGGGCACTCCCCTCCCGAGGCGCGGGGCGAGGCCCAGAAGGGCACCTCCGCGCCAGGATGGCGGGAAAAGCTGGGGTCAAAATCTGCCGGGGACACGGGAGGCGAGAGCGAGGGACGGGTGTCGGTATCGGTGGGTATGTCTCTTCCGCGGCCGCCTCGTGGCTCACACAACATATAGCTTCCACAACATGGTTTGCGTGACCTAGATTCTCCTTTTTTTCCAATAAAGAAACGTTCTACCACCCTCCCCCCGGGGTTAAAGATCCCCCGGGAACCGATGCAAAACACATAGGATTCTGCCCCATCGTTCGCCCATCCTAAATATGAATCTACAATATCCCAAGGTGGCCGGTATCGGCCCCCGCCCGCCACCCTCTGCAAAAAAACAAAAAAAGCGCTCACACTCGTAGATCAAAAGTCATAAGTTTTCAATAAACCCTTGCAGAAAATGAAACGAAGTGCACGCGCGCGCGTCGTCGCGCGGGCATGCCGAACTCCTTCAAAAACCTTCGGTGTCGGAAGGATTTCAAAATCGAGTTTACAAAAAACATACAAAAACAACAGGTTTCGCAACACTGATTCTCTAAACAAGTTTACACGCGCGCTCTTGCGAAATCTTAAGGAATCCACAGGTTTTCCAATTTGGTCAAAAATGCTACCAAACGGGTTTCGCGCGCGCATGTCGAAATCGTTCGAACGCCCTTGCGCGCGTGCCGTCGCGAGAACCCTGAGCAACACATGGAACGAAGTGCACGCGCGCGCGCGTCGTCGCGCGCGCATGCCAAAATTATTCAAAAACCTTGGGTTTCGGAAGGATTTCAAAATCGAGTGTCCAAACAACGTACAAAACACTTGGTTTCGCGACACGGATGTTCAACAAACGCGTGCGCGCGCGTTCTTGCGTCGTCGTCGTCGTCGCCGTCCTCCCTCCTCCCTCGACGTCGTCGTCGTCGCCGTCGTCGTCCTCTGTCTTTCCTCGTCGTCATCGTCGTCCTCTTCAACGTCGTCGTCGTTTCCGTCGTCGCTGTCGCCGTGGTCGTCCTTCCTCCTCCCTCGTCGTCGTCGTCGTCCGTCGTCGGCGTCTCGTCGTCGTCTTCCCTCCTCCCTCGTCGCTGGCGTCGTCGGCGTCGCCGTCCTCCTTCTTCGTCGCTCGCGTTGTCGCCGTCCTCCCTCCTCCCTCGTCGTTGTCGTTGTCGTTGTCGCCGTCGTCGTCCTCCCTCCTTCCTCGTCGTCGTCGTTTTCGTTGGCGACGCCGTCGTCGTCGTCGTCGTCGTCGTCGTCGTCGTCGTCGTCTTCCCTCCTCCCTCGTCGTTGTCGTCGTCGGCGTAGCCGTCCTCTCTCCTTCTTCGTCGTTCGCGTCGTCGCCATCCTCCCTCCTCCCTCGTCGTTGTCGTCGTTGTCGCCGTCGTCGTCCTCCCTCCTCCCTTGTCGTCGTCGTCTTCGTCGTCTTCGTCGTCGTCGTCTTCGTCGTCGTCGGCGTCGTCGTCGTCGTCGGTGTCGTCGTCGTCGTCCTCATCGTCGGCGTCGTCGTCGCCGTCGTCGTCTTCGGCGTCATCGTCGTCGTCGTCGGCGGCGTCGTCGTCGTTGCTGTCGTCGTCGAAGTCGTCGGAGACGTCGTCGGTGTCGTCGTAGTCGTCGTCGGCGTCGTCATCCTCGTCATCGTTGTCGCTGTCGTCGTCGTCGTCGGCGTCACTGCCGTTGCCAAGTGCGATTTGGTACCCCCGTCACGGTCTTGAGAAGTCTTGCGACCAAGTTGCGGGTGGGAGGGTGGGATGTTTGCACGAGCTGTGGAGAGGACAGCTTCAAGACAGTCAAAATGACCGACACACCATAGATTACACCACCCAGCTCACGCCGCATAGCTCACGCCGCATAGCTTACACGGCGTAACTTTCACATAACTTGCACCGTATAGCTGTCACCTCCCCCGTGCCATAACGCACTGGTTGGGATCCACGAGCCTCTGGGAGGGTTCCCGTCGCCACGGCTGAATTCCAGGCGAGAACCTGGTCAGAAAGCACACAAAGAATAGGCTCGGGGGAAGTATCGAAGGTGCAGTGAGGACGAGGCAGGAGGAGAGCTGCTTCTGCCACCTGGGCCTCCACCCCCGCCGGGGTCGTCATCGCGGGGGTCGCGGCGGCGGTCGTCGTACCTTCGCCAGGGGTGCGGCGCCGCGGTTCCACGCCGCCCCCTGCTGCTCCTCCTCTCCCGCCTCCCTCTCCGATCACCAAGCAACGAACATGCCCATATCCCTGCCCTCGGTATCTGGACACCGCGGTGCGCTCCCAAGGATACGCGATCGCATCGATACCTTCCGCTCCGGGCATATTGTCAGCCACGCCGCCATGTATCCATGGGGCCACGGCCGAGCAGTCCCGACCGCGAGGCTGTAGATGTGGATGCGCTACTAGCTCACGATTTTCCTCCTCGATTCCCTCTGGCAGTGGCCTAGGAAACTTGCACGCAGCTCCATCGTAGCAGGTTGTTGGGGCAATGCTTCGCGCAAGAGCTCGCATCCCGTAGGGACTGCCTGAAAGCCACAGCCCAACGCCACACTGATGAGGGGAGGGATGAACAGGATTTTTTTTTTTTTTTTTTTTTTTTTTTATTTAAAAAAAAAAAAAAAACCACCCCCGTTTTGGTTTTGGTTAGTTCTGACCTCGCTCCAGGCCACTCTGATGGCTGGGTGCCGTCGTGAGTGTAGGCGGAGCCTGGCGTGAAAAGCTTGCTGAGCAGTCGCTCTGCTGCCCAGCCGCACACTCGTGTGTGCATGCACAAAAGCGTCGCAACAACTGGCATATCGTAGCAGCTCAGCAGGAGAGGGGGGAGGGGCAGTAAGGGTAAACTCAGAGAACCAATCACCTTCAATATCATTGAGGAACGAGCCGAGATGAGAGACAAGGAGATGGTAGAGGCACGGGCAGGTCTTGTAGTGCTTCAAATCGTCTAGGTCGGCGCCAGACGCTGGCCGAGCACAGCCAAATACACATCCACGGGGTGCACAATGGAAACGAGAAGTAGTACATATGCCACGACATGCAATACGTAAGATGGACACGCCAATGTAAGCTTGTGATTTCTTTACCACGTACTTGATACTTGAGATGAGCTGTTCAACATGCATAGGTGTGATACCGTGACGCCATGCACAAAAACGCTGTAGCAGACCAGACTGAGGACAGTGTTCGAGCGGTGTCGGGATGGCTAGCTGCAGCTGTTTATAGAAAAACTGCTGCACCCTTTTCCGATCAAGATCTTGCGGCAGCAGGCTAAAGACAGAGGCATACACAGTGGCCGTGTGCAGGATGGACGAGAGAAACCCATGTTTCCACCACCCCATCACCCCACGAGCAATACACATGTCATCGCTGCTACGAACCTCTTGCAGACGAGCGAGGGCAGTCTGAAGTGCAGGACACTTGGCGAGCAAGCGTAGCTGGCTGGCACTGGCAAGGACAGAGAGATTCGGGAATTCGATGCTAATGCCCAGGCTGCGCAGACCCATGAGCATGTGCTTAGAGAAACTGCGACGTGGAGCAGCATTCAGCAATTGCATGGCCCCATCATTCGCAGCCAACAATGCAGGCGATGGTGGATAGCATTGAAGTGTGAATTGGAGCTTGGATAGAGCAAGACATTGATATGATGAAATAGAGAGAGGGAGACCAAACCCTTGCTGTCGGATGGCACGATATCTGGCAGTAAAGGCAGGCAACACTTCATCCCATGCATACTTGTATGCCTTGGGACCTATGAGGATGCCGAGGTACTTACAATAGTGAGCAATCTGCAGCAGAGCGAAGGGCTCACCTAGATCCTCGCAGAGCCTGATAAACACGTTCATCTTAGTATCCCCGACCAGAAGGACCACACATTTTTTGAAATTCAGGTAGAGGCCAACCATGGGCCCAAGCAGGGAAATATGAGCAAGAACCCGAGGGAGCCCAGCGAGCACGTTAGGGAGCATGATGAGCCAATCATCGGCGTAGGCCAGCATACGGTGAACATAGCTACCACTCTTCCAGATCAGCCAGCGCATGATGGGGTCAGTACACAATGCAAACAAGATCATCGATGCGGGGTCCCCTTGCCGCACCCCCCGTTCAATCATAATCTGGACAATCCGACGGCCTCCGAGAGTAACCCAGCCCGTGCTCGAGCGATAAAGCTCCTGGAAGAAAGCGATGATGGCAATAGGGAACCCCATGCGGGTTAAAACGAATATGATCCAGCTGATGAAGACCGACGGAAAGGCCGCCGAGAAATCCGTCAGGAGCTCGGCTGCATGCTTACTACCAGTCCCCCATTGCTCCATTCCCCACGCCTCAGCCTCGACAGTGTTAGCCAACATATCCCTCCCACGGATCCCCCCCTTCTGTTCGTCCAATACAGTGACAGCAGCAACGGAGCAGAGCGGCACAGACATGGCGAGCGATAGGCACTTGCAATCGGTGTCCGAGAGGGCCAGCGGGCGTGTCGCAGCCGGGGCCCGTACTGCACCGGAGACTGTGTCCGACGGGCTAGTACCCTTCGGGAGGAAAACGAGCAGCATCTCACGCATGCTGTCGGGCATGTCTACACTGTTGTTGTGGTATAAGTGTGTATAAGCACCATATAGAATTTCCAAGGCAGGTGTGCAACGCCAACAGGAGTATGGTATACCATCGGGCCCAGGGGCAGTGTTTTTGCGACCGAGCATCAGATCGTCAAACGTGTTTTGGTCCAGGAAAAAGGTGGGCTGAACCTCAAGCTCTGCAATCTTCGGGATAAACTGGCCAACCTCCTCCCGCAGAGACCTGTCTTCAGGCACATGCTTAAATACTTGCCCCCAGTGCGCAGCAAGAGCAGCGCCTGATTCGTCAAGCGAACGGCAGGGTTCGCCGTCCTCGTTCAGTACACCTAGAAGAAAAACTCGACGACGAAGCTTACTCCACATCTCTTTCTTACGCCTCCACCTCCCAGCCTGCCTCTGAATCCATGCCTCCTCCTCCAGGCTCTTTGCGACGAGGGTCTCCAACCCGTTCAAAGTCTCCTGAATCGTGGCCTCCTGTAGTGCACGCGCGTGCTCACACAGCTGCGGAAGGTCATTACAGGTTTCCGTCTCAACGTCGAAGAAGGGCAGAAGATCGGGGTAAGTGCGGAGAGCAGTGATACACATAAAGAACTTGCGATATCGTACACCACGAAGTGCATGCATAGTCCAATAATGTTTCTCGGCACAGGTGCGCGCACGACGGTGCTTAATCTGCTGACGGGCGGGACCAACCTGCTCAACAAAAATCTTCTTGGCAGCTTCCAGCCGCACTAGTGGATGCCAAGAGTCGGGGATATCCTGCAGCAGCTGCCAGGTAAGCAGCTTATATTCAGGAGGGTTAGCCACGAAAAGAGGAATAGCTGGAGCAGACTTGGTCGGGTCGAACTTCTGAAACGAAATAATAAGCGGCCGATGGTCCGAGGGTCCAGAACGATCCAGGCTGCCCCACACTTTCGCTTGCATCGTATAGTCCTGGAGGAGGGGGCTGGGGAGGTCCGAGTAGATCCTGTCCAGACGCGACGAATGAGATTCACGGGAATTGTTCCAGCCTTGCCTCGTGGGTTCCTCCTGGGCAAACTCGATCCAGGAACTACACAGAGCACGGAAAACATCATGATGTAAGCGGTCCCCACTGTGCCAAGAATGCCCATCATCTCCCATCCTTCCTTCCTCCTCAAGGGGAGGGATGAACAGGATGATGAGGAGGAGGAAAAGGAGAACTTTCAGACACCTGTGGCCGCCTTGGACAGTGTGGCGATCGCCACACCAATGCGACTCGCCGCATGTATAACCTCCGCAAGTGCCTCCCACAATCAGCCGCCACACTTGCCGTCACTCCACCCCTTGAACCCTGCAGGCGAGGGTTCCCGTCGCTGGTCTGGGGAACACGTCGCGCCCGCAACGCCAGCGTCAGGAGGAATAGAGCCGGGATGAGAGAGCGAAGCGGGATTAAGCAGGTAAATAAGGACAAGGAACTGAAGAAGAGGAGGGGCAAGAGGATGAGGATGAGAAGGAAACTCCAGAATTTCCCAAGCCTCTCACTCCCTGTGATCACATCGACCCTTTTAATTTAATCCACCTCCCCCTCCTCCTCCCCTACCGTCCGACAGCGTGGAATATCCCGAGCGCCGTAGAACAACTGTGACCACATCCTTCGACCCCACCCTTCTACCTGCCATTTCATCCCAACTCGATCCGTGAGGGTCGGGGAGCCCGAGTGGCGGCGATACCGCCCGTTGTGATCCTTCCAGTCCCCCTCCTCATGTTGATCTCTCGCTCCCGAGGCACGGCTCACGGTCTCCACGGCCGCCGCGGCGATCGGACCCGCGATCCTCGGCGACGCCGCGGCGGTCGTCGCCTGGGGGTGAGCGGGCGCTGCTGGGGCACGAGAAAGGAGATCTGCGGCACAGCAGCGACCCTCCGTCTCGAGGAGGAGGGTAAGAAGGGGGCATGCTTTAGGAAGCAAATCGGCCAGCGAAACACATGCTTCCAGAGTGCGTGCATCGTTCGTGCCTCCTTGCAGGTAGGGTGCACAACTGGAGCCAATCTAAGCTCAAGCCGGATGGGCCGCTGATTACAGCGAAAAAGAACAGCACACGCCAAGATTCCCCAAACAATGTTTTCCTTTTTAAGGGTTCTTGCTTCTGTTCTAAAGAATTGGGCCGGGTCTTCGGTTTGGTGGCTATGCGGCCGCCGTTGCCGCGCCCGTCGCCGCCTCGTCGCCGCCCGTCGTCTGGGCCTGTCGGTCGGTGTGGCGGCGATGCGGCCGCCGTCACCGCCCCGTCGCCGCCTCGTCGCCGCCCAAAAGTGCACAACATGGATTGCACCGCATATATTGCACCATAAGGAGTGGACCGCATATGTTGCATCACGTCGAGTGCACCACATAGCTTGCAAAACATAGATAGCCCCTGCACAACGAATATCTCACCGTATAAACTTTCTTTTCTAAAGCACAAGCAGGTTCTACACCCCCCCCCCCCCGGACTTATCGACTCCCCGTGGACCGATGCAAAACACAGATGGTTCTGACCCACATGTCCATCGCACCTGTGAGTTCATACTATCCCAACCAAGCCTGTATCGCACCCCCCCGTCATTCTTTCTTTGCAAACAAATACTATGTGCGCGCACTCGTTCATCACAAACCCTAAGTTGCCAAGAGCCCTTTGCAACAGATGGGACGAAGTGCGCACGCGCGCGTCGTCGCGCGCGCATGCCGAAACCATTCAAAAGCCTTCGGTTTCGGAAAGATTTCAAAATCGAGTGTCCATGACACATGTAAAACGCAAGGTTCAACGCTGATCTTCAACAAAAGTATCAAGAAAACCATAGGTGGTCAACATTTCCCAAACAAAATGCTACCAAGCGGGCATCGCGCGCGCATGTCGAAATCGTTCGACTGCCCTTGCGCGCGTGCTGGGGTGGCACGATCCGCGTCAAATAATACCATGCGAGCCACTCTCGCGCGTCTGCCGCGCGCGCACTTCGAATTCCTTCCCAAACCTTCATCACCGACGCGAAGACGCCGTCTTCGTCGTCGGCGTGATCAGCATCGGCGCCGTCACTGGCTGCCCCGTCGTCGCTGTCAACATCGTCGCTAGCATCGCTACTATCATCATCGTGTCTACCGTTGTCGACGTTGCCATGATACCGCGCCCACCCAAGTCGCCGACTCGCACTGAAGTGCCCGCTGGGATGTGCCGAACGGTCAGCGCCACCGCCCTCGCGTCGGTCGCGCCAAACTAGCTGGCCGCAGCGCGCGCGAGCATGCGCGGGCTAGCGCGGCCGCAGAGATGCACCAGCCAACACCCAGCAGCACTCATCGCAATCGCTGCCGCATGGGTTTTGCAAACCAAGTTGCGGGTGGGTGGGTGGGTGGGATGATTGCGCGAGCAGTGGAGTTGACAACTTCAAGTTCGGCAAGAGAATTGCACACCGTAGAGTGCACCACATAGGCTTCACATCATAGATGTCACCACGTACTGCACCACTTAGACTGCACCACACAACTTGCGTAACATAGATTGAGCCGCATAGGTTGCACAACATTTATTGCACTACATAGAGTGCAGAACAGGTCTATACACATATTGCGCCAACTAAGATGGACAACCAAGACTGCACCACAAGTATTGCACAACATATATCGCCAGACACACACTGCTTGGGGTCCACGCTAAATATATACAGTATGTGTAGCGAACCTGAATACACGTGCTGCAGGGGAGAGGTAGGAGGAAGATCTAGGCTTTACGAGGTTCTTAGCGGCTTAGCGATTCGAGACAGCCCCAAGGGAAAGATGATAGGGAGGAGGGGAAGGAGGATATCCAAGAAGTCACCCCCAAGTGCAAAGGGAAAGGCGCTCCTGGGCAGAACCGGGCGCGTAACCTCCAACGGGCGGCACAGCTAATGACAAGTAGGGGGCAGGTGCTCCCTCTTCCCCAGTCCACTAAGAAACACATGGCAGGTGAGCACGAGGGGGACACGGGGGAGAAAAAGCGGAGAGCGAAGCTCCCGCCTGCGCCGCGGCGGTCGTCGCCACGACCACGCCGTGGCTCCGGCTCCGTGTGCTCTGCACGGCCTCTGCCGTGTCCGCGGTCCGGTGGATCGCGGCTGTCACCAGCGTCCTTCGGGGGGGGTGTCGCAAGTGTAGGGCTGCTGGAGCACCAGGCTCGCGGGCTGCCCCAATCCCCCACCCCCGCCGACACATCGGGCACGTACGCTGCGGGCGCGACCGCGCGTGGCAACTCGGCCCTCGCGACCAACAACGCTGTCCCACCTCACTCAAAGCCAATTCACAACCGCAGTGTACACACGTGTGATGGTCCACGCGCTAGGGGAATGCTTGTGGAATCCAGACACCCCGCAATGAACTGGCGAGCTGCGAGCATCAGCACATTCGAGACGCAAACCCTCCGACAACTTGACACAAGGGCAGAAAACTCCATGTTAGCATGTCCAAACGGCACCCCCGACAATCTCCACATCGTCCTGGCCCACCCCTCCGCCCATCCCCTTCCCCCCCCCTCCCCGCGAGATTGCGCACCATGCGTGATTGCGTCCTCCAACTCCCCCACATACCCGCACAATCCGCCTCCGCCGCCCATCTCCATCCCCCTCATGCCCATATGCCCCGGGTCCAGGCAAACGCCGTCACAATCCGAGCACAATTACGCAGACCCCCTCCTCCTTTCAACCCTATCTCACCTTCTCCTCATCCTCGTCTCCTTCCCATCCAGGCACGGGGCATGTTGTGATGAAAACTGGACCTTGCATATTGTGTAAACTCTGCAGGTCGCATTATTCTACAAATTCCTCACGCCTCCCGCGACAAAGCTTGCACAACAAGGCTTCTGTGACCAGCCAAGACCGATTGGGGCGTCTGCTAGATGGACTTGGTCCCAAGCACAACGTATCACGGGGACCTCTTGTTCCCGCTACCCTCCGAGTCTGCCACGAACTACTGGAATCAGCGGCTATGGATCCCCTTCTGGCGTGCCCTCCCACCCTTAACAATGTTTTTGCGAGTTGAATGTGTTTGCACTGGCCCGAGCGTGTATCTGTGCCACTAGCTTCTCACTGCAAGCAGCCTGGATAACATGATAGATGACATTGTGTCTGTCAGTTGTGATGTTTAGCACAGTGCCCCTGCTGCGTGGCCAACTACTCGTGTCACCCCCTTTTCTTCTAGGAGCTGCCTCCTTGGAGGCAAGCCAATCCAGCATCCAGCATGGCTTTCCCCCTCCCCCCATCCCCCTCCTCACTCCCTTCCTCCTCTCCGTCATGTCCCTTCTCCTTCTCTTTCCCTCTCCTTCCCGTAGTGCCCCATGCCCACCAGATTCCTTCCTCCTCCTCAGGAGGCAGGGGAGGACGCAAGGGGGAGGAGAAGCAAAGTCTACCACGAGGAGGAAAACGAGGGAGGATGACCCCGTCCTCGGCGTGGGCCGCACTTTTCCTTGCCTCTCGCCTCCTCCTCTTCCTCCTCCTTCTCCTCCTCCTCCTCCTTCTCCTCCTTCTCCTCCTCATCCTCCTCCTCCCATTCCTCCCCCCCGCCCCTCCCTTTCCCCTCGTCCTCCTCCTCTGCCGCCTCATCCTCCTTCTCCTCCTCCTTCCACTCCTCCCCCCCTCCCACTCCCCTCCTCCTCCTCCTCCTTCGCCTTCTCCTCCTCCTCCTCCTCCTCCTCCATTCCTTTCCTTGTAAATAACTTCGCCATGTTGCACCCCGAGGCCAGTTTTTAGGGCGGGCCGGACGTTTCGCCTGAGACTTCGTCACCGTTAATGAGTCTGGAGCTTAAAATTCGGCGACAGCTTCACAGATAGAGGGCGGGTTGTTTTCAAAATGTGGCTCTCGCCTTAACGCGGCGCACACTCGTTTTAACAATGTTCAAGAGTTTCACGGATTGAGGGCTGGTCGTTTTCAAAATGTGACTCTCGCCTGAGCGCGGCGCACATTCGTTTTAAACAGTGTGCAAGAATTTCACGGAATGAGGGCGCGTAGTTTTCAAAATGTAGCTCTCGCCTTAGCGCGGCGCGCATGTTTCACAATTTGCAAGCGTCTCACAGATTGAGGGCGAGTGGTTTTCAAAATGTGGCTCTCTCCATGGCGCCGCACATTCGTTTTAAATTTTGCAAGGCTTTCGCCGATTGAGGGCGAGTTGTTTTCAAAATGTGGCTCTCGCCTGAGCGCCGCGCACATTCGTCTGAAACAATTGCAAGATTTTCACGGATTGAAGGCGGTTCCTTTTCAACATGTGGCTCTCGCCCTAGCGCCGCGCACATTCTTTTAAAACATGTGCAAGAGTTTCACGGATTCCCATCATCAGCGCACCAGAAATGGAGCTTGGGAAGGATTCGGGATTATTGGGGTGCAACAGATGAGTTGATTCTCTGTGTTCAAGTCCTAGGAATGGCGTCCTGACACGGCTCTGGATTGTCAAGACGCAACAGTCAGGTTGATCCGTGGCGTGGGAATCCCAAGAACAATGTTTTGGCATGCTTCAGGGTCTTCAAACGGATGTCTTCCAAAGAGGCAGTTCCATCACTCGAAATGAACCGTTGTATGGGCCTATGAAGAGGGAGCTTGGAGGGAGGGTTTGCTCCAACATTGTTGATGACTCTTGGGTTTGCACTGGTCCTCCTCCTCCTCCTCCTCCTCCTCCTCCTCCTCCTCCTCCTCCTCCTCCTCCTACTCCTCCTTCGACCATGCTCGGATGGCATTTGCGTGAAGATACGCTGCCATCATCCCTCAATGAGGAGCGGGACGAACGATAATGGACTGAAAACTTCTCCTCCTAGTCCTCCCCCCATGCTCAAAACCCTTCTTCATGTTCCTACTCCTTGTCTCCATTCAAACCTGACTTCTCAGATTGAGGCTTTCGTATCGAGATCCCGTTCGCAAAGATACAATCAGAGAGTCCGAAGCTCCAACAAAGAGCCCCCCTCGAGCATGGTCCTCGAAAGAGCAACCACATGCCGTTCGGCACATGAGTGAGATTCCGAGGGCCATGTTCGGGTGGGTGGGGACGTTGTTTTCGAAGAGACTGGCGGAAAGGGAGAGAGACAGCGAGATAGAGAGCGAGAGAAACAGAGAAATATAGAGAAGAAGGAAAGATGAGGATCACGATCAACAGGACGAGCAAAAACTCGAAAACACTCTGAATCAACACGACAACACTACGAAAACAACTCAAAACGGCGAGGGGCGCCACAATCCCTGGCCTCGAGAACGCCCACTCCTCCTCCTCCTCCTCCTCCTCCTCCTCCTCCTCCTCCTCCTCCTCCTCCTCCTCCTCCTCCTCCTCCTCCCTCCCTCCCTCCCTCCCTCCCTCCCTCCCTCCCTCCCTCCCTCCCTCCCTCCTGCGCATCCTCTTCTCCCTCCCGCCCTCCTGCCATCCCTCTCTCCCTCCCGCCCCTCAGGGCCGGGTCGGGTGAGTCGGGACGGGCTTGGCCGGGCTGGGCCGGGCCGGGCCTTCCCCTCTCTTCTCTCCCTCCCCCCCCCTCTCCGCCCCCTGTTCCACTTCCGCCGCTCCTTTGGAGGCAGGTCCGAGCCGAGGCGTGTTGCTGGAGGGCGGTCGAGGTTGAGTGCTTGGGCTCCTTTGGTGTCAGAAGCTGGGGCCGATGCTCCCTCGGCAGGATTTGCTATTCGAAGAAGCGTGCCTCGAGGTGGATCGGGCGGCCTCGAGAGGTCGGGCCAGGGCGAGGACGTCAGGGCCCAGGGTCGACTCAGCGCATCGTCCCTTGCCCCCATCCCTCTGCTCTCAACGGGCCACAGGCCCCCGTCCCATGGGTCGCGCTGAGCCGCGGGAGGGGTGAAGGGGCAATCTCGACGGCGCGCTGGCTCAGTCCCCTCCATTCTCCCTCCCCTCCTCCCCTGCTGATGCCGGTGCGCTGCTCCCCTCCCCTCCCTCTCCGCAGCCGCTCTCTCTACAGTCTCCCGCATCCCCTCCGGACGCCCAGAAGCCAGCGTGGTCCGCCTCGGATTAGATCGCCATGGCCGGGGAGCAGCTGAAGCAGGAAGATGTTCTCAAGTACTGGATGGACCACAAGCCGTCCCTGAAGGCAACCCTCCGGGCAGCGGCGACCAGTGAGTCCAAACACCCAGGCGCGTGCTGCTCGAAGACCTTGTACGGGCGGGCCGTAAAGCGCCAGTGGGAACTCATGAACCCCGAGCAGCAGGAGTCCTGGCGAGCCGCGGCGGCCGCTGGGGGCCCCCCCCCGTCGCAGCCCGCCCTCGCGTTCACGGTCAGCCAGGGCGGCTCGCCCCCGGAAGGCCAGGGAGGTGCGGAGTCCCGGAGCGCCGCTCCAGCGCCGGAGGCCCGGGACCAGGCGGGCGCTTGCCCTGGGGCCGGCCAGAGCCAGGACTCGAGCTCTTTCCCGTCGTGCTGCGCCTGGTGCGGCAGGGCCCCCCTGTCTCCCTTCCAGCTCAAAGAGGGGCAGGGCCCCTTCCAGCACAAGTTCTTCTGCGGCGGGTGTTGGGACGCCTGGGAAGCGGAGCCAGCAACGCCCCCAGGGAGCCCCTCTGACCTGGGCCAGGAGCAGGCGCCCCAGCAGCACGCGGAGGCCCCGGAGTCGGCTGTTCTGCCCGAGGGGGCTGCGGCCCCGGAGCAGGAGGCCAAAGGGCAGGCCACCACCGGCGGCGGAGGGCCTCAGTCCGCGCGCGGCGCTCTAGCGGCACAGACCGGTCCTGGGACGCAAGAGGCCGTGGGGCTCCCAACCTCCGGAGCAGGGTGGGCGCCCGAGCAAGGTCTCCTGCCTGTGCAGTGCGTGGAGTGCGGCGTTGTGGGCGGTCCGGTCAAGGCGGGCTACTGCGAGTACTGCTGGACCACCTGGGAAGCAACGAACACTTCTCTGGCCGCCGGCGCCGCGCAGCAGTTCACGGGAGCAGCAGGGCACTCCGAGCCAGGTCAGCAGCCCCCAGCCAAGCGGGCCAAGTTCACGGGGCTGGAGCCGGACCCCTGGACAGGCCGTGGCGTCGGCGGGGCTGAGCCCGGGCAGGGTTCGGGTGACACGGCGGCCCTTGCCTGCATGGGATGTGGGCAGCTTGTGTACGCTCTTGTGGCAACCAAAGGGCCTTCGGGGTTGCGGCTCCTGTGCGGGGCCTGCGGGCCAGCAGCCAGCCCTGCCGCCGGTAACGGGGCGCCCCCCTCGCACGCTCTGCCCCCAGCGGGTCGGGGGGGTGACGCCCAGGGCTGGGGCGCCCCGCCAGCAACCGCCGCTCCGAAGCCAAGGGCCTGCGACCCGCTCTTCCCGGAGTTCGGGCGCGTCCAGGGCCCGCCGGCTGCAGAGGCAGACAAGCACAACGTGGACAGGTGGGTACGGAGGCTCCCAGACGGGAGCCTCCCGACGGACCGGATCGTGCTGTACTGGGCCTACACTCACCCGGTGAGCGGCCCCCTCATGGCCACTGGCAAGTGGTGCCACGTCCCCAAGCGGGATCCCGTGCCGAAGGGCGTGCTCCTGCAGTTCGGGCACAAGAAGGGAGCAGCCC